AAATTCCATTCCAGTAGGCAGGGTTTCCAGGGGGAAAAGGGCTGTTTTCTCTGCTATTCTGGAAAATCTTTGGAAAGTCCAGATTACCTGTATTCTTCATACTATGGGATAGTCTGATGCAGAGAGCTGTCCGTTTAATTTTTACTACCAGGACTCATCTCTTGTCTTTTCTGTGCTTTGAATTGTGAGGCAAGATTTGAGAGAGATTATCAGTGTTATGATTCTGTGAGTTTGCGTCTATTGATAAAAGTTACCCTCTCTCAGGGTAAGAGACTCAAGCAAATAAAAATCACTTCTTCAGACCTTCCTCAACTTAATATACACACTCGAGTTTTGGTCTTCATTATGTTCTTTCATATTCTAGAACGGGCTGAACAGGCTGACACTTTACTTAAGGCTAAACTACTGTCCATTTTCTGGACAAACAAAAAATTCATACCATTACCTCATCTGCACAATTATATATTTTTTCTGTCACTATTGCTTCTAGCATATTCTCAATTATCCATATGAAATTCAACTTGCGGTCAACTTAACTAACTTCTAGTTAACAACCTTTACTGGCAGATAGGAACTTGATAATAATTGCTTATCATACACAAGAAATTTAGCAGACTAGCAAGTATCATTTTCTGCAGCCACACACGCTATTTTTACACCTTCTTAAAGTGCAAAGGTGAACTCACTTATTAACAGGATGCAAAATTACAGTAACTTTGTAACATTTTAGCATACTTAGAATTGTATATATAGTCATGTGCCACTTAACTATGGGGCTACGTTCTGAGAACTGCACCATTAGGCGATGCTTTCATTGTGTAATCATCATAGAGTGCATTTACACAAACCTAGATGGTCTAGCCTGCTACACACCTTGGCTGTATGGTAGAGCCTATTGCTCCTGGGCTAGAAGCTTGTACAACATGTTATTGTAGTGAAATACATACTGTAGGCAATTGTAACAGAATGATATTTGTGTATCTAAATATATCTAAACATAAAAAAGGCACAGTAAAAATACAGTCTAAAAGATAAAAAATGGTGCAATCAATTTGAAGAAAATTAGGTGTTGAAACTAAATACAGAATTTTACTGTGTTTAAGTTTAGAGCTGCAGTTTAATTCTGTTTATTGTATTTTATCATTTTTGTTATCAGACTGGGGGAGTAAGGAGAAAGTTCTGTGTAGCTAAGAAGTGAAGATAGTTGTTATAGACCAGTTATTTGTGGAGATTGGCAATAAAAGAACAGGTGATAACACATATGTAAAAAAAAAAAAGTAATGGAAAAAGAAACTGAAAATAATTTACAAAAAAAAAAGAAAGAAATACAGATGTTGAGTAAACATCTTAAGATGCTCAAAAATAAGAAATTAAAATTTAAAAGTAACGTCTCACTTGTCAAATTCTTAAAATATTTTTTAACACAGTTTTCAGTTTTAATACAGGTGCAGTAGACTGCTCTTCGACAGTGCTAGGGGGAGTACAAGTTGAACAACCTTTCTGAAGGGCGATTTAGCATTTAAAATGTAATGCACCAGCCGGCCGAGTGGCTCAGTTGGTTAGGAGTGCGAACTCTGAGCAACAGCGTTGCTGGTTCGATTCCCACATGGGCCAGTGAGCTGCACCTGAGCTGAGCTGATGCTGAGCTGCCAACAGGTGGCAGGATGGCTCAGCTGGTGAGAGCACGTGCTTCTAACAACAAGGTTGCCAGTTTGACTCCCGCATGGGATGGCTATGCCCACCCGCAACTAAGATTGAACACAGCACCTTGAGCTGAGCTGCCCTGAGCTGCCAACAGGCAGCCAGATGGCTACTGGACTTGGAGCTGAGCTAGCTGCATCCTCCACAACTAAGATTGAAGGACAACAACTTGGCTGTTCCCCTTCCCCAATTCCCCAATAAAATCTTAAAAAAAAATGTAGTGCACCTTCACATAGTAATTCCACTCCTAGAAAGTAATTTCAACGAAATAATCAGAGATTTCACAATGATATTTATATAACCTGGTCAAGCTCGAAACAACATACTAGTATAACAATTATGTAAATGGCTTACAAATACTACAGCATAATATATCCTTAACATCTGTTGTAGAAAAGTATTTTCAAAAAATGATGTGATATAATATATTCTTTAAGTATAGACTCTGGAGTCAGATATCCTGGGTTCACAGCCAGGCTCTGCTGCTTATTTATTATAACTGTATAAGAGGAGCCAAAGCTTCCTTACGTGTAAAACAGAAATAATAATAATATATTTAATCAGGGCCATTAACAGGATTAAATAAGATGCAAAACATAAAGAGCATAGAATACTTCCTGACATGTAGTAAGCACTCAACAGATATTATTTTGATGAGTAAAAAGTATTAACCCCTTAAAACTATATATTCAAATGATCTTAATTTTGATAAGTAAACAAAAGTGTATATTAAAAAAAAAAAAACCTGGAAGGAAGGAAATTCACCAGCATAATCTTAGTGGTCAACTCTTGACATTTTTACTTTCTTTATATAGTTCCATATTTTCCAAATTTTCAACCATGAACATGTATTGTGTTCATATTCTCTAAATATTTTCTAAAATCAACACATGCTATTATAGTTTAACAATTGATGATAGTATTTCATAGTGACTGTAGAAATGGTATAAAAAGTTTTTCTTTAGACTGAAGCACTATGGTCACTTGTTCTTTATTAAAGATGCAGATGTGCATAACCATCAAATAATTGTGCTACAGGTTTTGGACTCAAAGATCTGTAATCTGTAACCCAAAGCCAAGAAGACATTTTCTCAAAACACATAAGGGGCAGGGAGAATTAATACATGTAGTTTTGAACTTTTGTTTTTCAACAGAAATATTACAGTGCTCATCCTAAAGCTATGCTTTATGACCAAAGTTTTAGAGCAGCGGTTCTCAACCTTTCACAGGGGTAGCCTAAGACCATCGGAAAACACATATTTTCGATGGTTTTAGGAACCGAGACACCGCTCCTCTATCCGTCTCCAGGCCCACATGCAGATATGCCCACATACGAGTACCCGGAGACCCCTGTGAAAGGGTCGTTCGACCCCTAAAGGGGTCACGACCCACAGGTTGAGACCGCTGTTTTAGAGATTACCAAAATCTTGGAAATCATGTTTTAAGTTGATACTGTATAAAACATAGTTACTATTGATATAAAAGCTTGTCAGAGTTATAATTCAGTTTAGTTGAACACAATTTTATATTTTTTTATGCTTTCAAACTTTATGTAGGAATTTGATTAATATTCATACCTACCTGAATTCCAGGAAGTTCAGGTTAACTAGCCTCTTAATGAAAGTACATACTCACATCTTCACAAAATCATGGAGGAAACATAATTGTGTATTTTAAACGATAATTATTAACTTAGTCTTATTTGTCTAAAGACTCACTTTTATTATATGAACTTGGGCTCTTATTAAAGATATTTCTGAGCATCTAGTAGTTTTTAGGTTTTTTTTCCTTAAAAACAGTGTAGCACATTTCAAGTTTTCATTAGATACTAGAATATAAGATTTATGAAAGTGCTTAGTATCCTCTGTGAACTGAGATTGTCAGTTCTTTAATTTATTAAATAACCTCCCGAGTTAGGAGCATATTTCACACGCACACAGTGAGACATAATTCTCTCAATTACATCCACTCAGGGAATTTGTAGCTTCAGCTCTGCAACCTCAGGAACAGGTTTGAGTGAAGAAAGAAACACTGAAACTCACTGGTCAAAATTTCAAAAGGCTATTTTCCTTTCTAGTGTTCATAAAATTTTTATATGAAATAGTTAGAGCTCACAAATGGACAAAGAAATTAAAGGATAGCAACTCAAATTCTTTATTGTTCACACATGGTATTAGGTAATGATAATAGATCCAAAAAAAACTAATAGAGGTCTTGAATGGTCAGATTATAAAATTACACTCACAATTGTTGCTGCTACCAGTGGGGAATTATTTATTGTTGTTGTTGTTTGTTGTTGTTTTCTGGTGCAAACTAGATCCAGAACTAAACTGGCCAAGAACCAGGAAAAGCAAAGGTACTAAATTAGAAAAAAAAAAAAATGGTAGCAAAGATAAAATTCTGCTTTTGGAATTGCTTTGGAGACCAAGCTAAGATGCTAACAATCGTGAAGTGCTTTTCTTTGATAACAGAGTTGAATGGACTTGGTGAATCTGCTCTAGAATCTTAGTGGAACCTTGAAAGCTATTATAGGCTAATAATCAAAGAATTAAAAAGATGACTTTCATAACTATAACATGAACATGTATCAATTTTTATTCAATTTATTAATTAGGAGAACAGGTGAAATGGTAAATGTCATTCAAAGAACATTTTAGAAGACATTTAAAGGCAAGTTAATAAAGTAATATCAGAAAAACATTGCTAAATTAGATAAAAACTAGTTAATATTCTACAGGGAAATAAACTTGCTTATGGGATTATCTTTTCTAACAGAAGAAAAGTATCTGAATTTTTTTCAGGACAAAAATCTACAAATTAACATGCAACTTCATATGTCCAGGACTTTTAAAGAGTGGATCAATTAAAACACATTCCCCCAAATTATCCTTGGTTGGGCCTGTTAAGTAATGCACCTGCCTGACGTTGAAAGGACATGCTGCTCTCCTTTTGTTTCTATTTCCAAGCTTTACATAACTTTTCTTAACACATGGCAACAACATATGATACATACAACACTTGCCCAGGATAATTATAGCAGAACACAATTTTTATTGATGGGAAGAGTCAATATGATTAAAAATGTCATTTTTCCCAAACCTAATCTTAAAATCAGTATAATTTTATTAATTTCTATAAAATTAAGCATTTGAATAAGATCTGGAGCTTATATATAAAAGACAAATTTTGTGTCAGTAAGAGTATCTTAAAAATCAAGTATGTTGTCAACTCATTGATTGGGAATGGTAATGTGTTATCAGAAAAATTAATTGTGGGTAATTTTTTCTCCCTTCCCAAAGAATACAAGTCAATGACCAGATTGTGGAGGTGGATGGAATCAGCTTGGTGGGTGTCACACAGAATTTTGCTGCAACCGTTCTCAGAAACACCAAGGGCAATGTCAGGTAAATATGTGGCTTCAGATATGTATAATTTGGCTACTTGATATTTCATTGAGTTTTAGTTTTCTATAATTGTACTTATAAATATATGTAATTGCAATGAGATTTTATTAAATGTTAAAACTTGCTTTTAGTTTTTAATTTTCCTTTATTGTAATTAGTTCATGTAAATGTAATTTAAAACTAAAAATTATAGTGTTCTAGAAAGACATGAAGATATGAAGTATATAGTTAGCTATGTAAGTGTGTCTTATTGCTAATATGATAAGAATTTCTAAGAAGATAGAATTCCTGCTTATATTCTCAATTAATAGGAATTTAGGCTCAAATCCTTTTAATAAAACCAGTTATACAGTAAATTAAAATGATCATACATATATCCAATGATACAATACATGTTAGCTAGACAAGTAGGCTGAATGATTTGAGGTTGATAAATGTATTTTTAAAATCTTGTTATTATTTTAAAGAATTAGGTAGGACTAATCTTCAGTAAAGTGAAAATTTTTTCCAACTTAATAGGACAGAGGGTACATTCTTTTGGACCTTGAAATTTATATCTAATCCTGGGGTTCTGAAAATTGTAGATTGGAAAACAAATAAGAAGTAGTCCTGAGCCAACTAAGGTCAAGGTTTGATATTTATTTTATTTGGTCACAGGGTACTTATTTTTAAATATAGTATTGCTTATGTCTTATACTTTTCCATGAGTCCTATGAAGGAACACATAAGGAAGCATTATTTAGTATGTGTAATTATGAAATTGTTTTAGTGTTATCATCATCAAAATGAAACTGCCAAATATTCTGAAAATATTGTTGAGTTAATGTTGGTATAAAGAGGGTAACATTAGGATTTTATTGCAGCATAATTTATGTTGCACAAGCATGAGTTTAAGTTTTAGAATTTAGATTTTTTTCAGTTGGAAAGCACCCTTTAATGCTGAAGGGAATGTTTAAGGAATACAGGCTCAGTGACTTTAATGGGCGCTATGTTAATGCTTCAAGAGTACCCATGCACCTGAGAAAAATATGTAAAATAATTGGAAGAGTTCAGGACAAATTGTACTATCCCTCAGTAAATGTGATGGTCTTTCTGGAGATAGCTGTCAGCTCTTGAGTCAGCACTTTCCTGTGTCTTGGTTTTAAAACTGCCCGTTAGGCTTTAAAGTGAATTTTAAAAGTGAAATAAGATACATGAGTTATAAGGACATTTCTCAGTTGAAAAAAAGTTTGTACTTACATGAAATGATAACCATCCCTTCCTTTCTTCTCATAATTTCATGCTGTGATCATTTCAAACCTTGGACACATTGCCGAAGGCTTATCTACTGGTCTCCCAGATTTGAGTCTCTCCTTTCTTGAATCTGTCCTTCTCATTCTTACCCCTCAGGGAGGAACATAATAGCAGTTTTCAAATATATGAAGGGCTATCGGAAAAAGGAATTGACTCATTCTGTGTAACTCTAGAAGCACAAGTAAGACCTGTAGAGATGATGACCACTGGATCTTGTCACTTACCTCTCCCAGTGTTCGTGCTCTGGTCGTATAAGCATAGCCATCGTCCTTCAAATGTGACTTGTGCATTTCTCTTTATGGTGCCTTTCTCTCTGTGCCATTTTTTTTTTCTGTTTAAAGTACTCTCTTCTGTTTAGAACTTACTTATCTTGAAGAACATATTTCAGATTCTTTCCTTTCCAAGAAGCCCTCCTTGACCTCACTATCTCCTAGTTATCTCTTCTTTCTGGTATACTTATCATTCATACCACTTTTTTGACCTTGAGGTTGCAGAACATTCTGCTTTCACCTTTTAAAGCCATACATCTTATTTTCCCATGCTCTTTGCAAACACCTTGATGTTAAAATGGGATCTGTAGCCTCCTTTGTTCCCCCAAAGTATTTAACCCTGGGTCTTAATTGGTTGAAATTATGTAACCTAGGATCTTAATAATTGAATGTAAGGAACAAAGTCTTTTCTCAATTTTAACTTATTAAAAATAATATTTGAATCCCCTTAATATATTTTATGTGGTAGTTCTTCATAAGGTATTAATACAAAAAACAGGACCCAAAAGCTAGACTTGTATTTTTAATGAACTGTTTTAAACTGAGGGTTTAAAATATGTATAGTTTTCTTATTTTAAATATTTATATTTCTTATTCATTGGTGATTTAGCTACCACATTCGTAGCTAGTAAAATTTATTTTTTAAAAAGGGTATCTGAAAAATTACTAAATTTAGTTTGAATTTTTCTAACTACTAAGTCCAGATCTAGAAGGAATGTGTTGGAACTCATGGCTCTAAAGAGCCAGGAAGGGGAAACATAAGCTAGAGGTGGTGAGAAAATGGAAACTTAGATTTGGATGGTGATTATTTTTGCGTATTGGAGATGAAGATTTCTGTCTATTTCCTGAAAATGTATATGAAATTGTTGCTTGCATTTGGATGCGAATCAACATCACACAGTGAAGGTCTGTGAATTCACCCACACTTAGAAACAATCACTTTTTCTATCTGACCTCTTAGTCTGATTTATTTTTTTAGACTCTAAATTTCTATACCTGAGTTTATGAAGTAATAACACTAATGAAGACTCCATTAATACGCCATTTTTAATACACTAGAGACCTCGTAATACAAGTATTTTAATATAACTTCCAAGGGTGTATATGTTCTTCAGTCCTACATCATTTATATGAGCTAAAGCGTATTAGGCCACTGTGAAGAAGTGGTTCAGCTCAAACCAGTCTAGGTTTCTGGGGTCTGGGAAACAAGGCCTTGCTGAATGAAACAAGGCCTTAGAAAATGATTATTTCCTCCATTAAACTAAGTACTGACGATGAGCACTGTGCTAATATCGTGTTAATTACTGCAAGTAATTGAATGGGGAAAGGACTCACAGGACTCCAACAGTTTGTGTTCAGAAATGACGAAACACGGCAACAGTGGGAGAAAGGTAAGCATGGACGGGTGGGTGTGGAGGACTCACACAAGCCTTCTTTATCGTTCCCCCACTGGGTCTCTCAGGACTTGTTCATCTCCAGATTGTAAACCACCACGGATATGTTCATGTAGCACCTTGGTACCAAGAAGCCCAAAGTCTGTGTGCGGTAGGGGTCTCTCATAGTGCTAGTCATGTAGGTACATTCCTACTACGTGACCAGCTCAACCGTTGTAAACCCCAGACTCCAGCAAACCCAATTACAAGTGATAAATCCAGTTATTATTACCGTACAATTCTGATAGGCTGGTATGGCTTGCCTTGAAACAACAATGGATCCGTGTTTGCCAAACATCATTTATCTGGTTAGTACCTTTCACAACTTTGACGAAAGGTCGGTGCTATTTATGCTCTTGGACCACTCTGGAGATAAGCACTTGGTAAATCCAGAATGGCTCTAGATTAACGCATGCTATGTACTCTGTATTGCACAACACATTTACTTTAGATTCCTTTTGACTTTAGATTCATACCATTTATTATGTCTTTACTGTATATTTAAATGTTGCCTGGTAAAAACCTAAAAAGAAGACATAACAGCTATTTAAAAACCTATAATCTTTTTGGTGGTTGATAGAATGTAACTTAGTTTAAAAGTTAGAATGAAGTTTTGTCCTCATTGTCAGATCCTGTATTATGTAAAAAATAATTTCAATAGTTTAGATTTAGTTCATTTGAATTAGCAGGTTTATCTACCTATTCACAATTCACTTTTACATTAGAACATACTAAACGATGCTTTTCTTGGAGATCCTGAAAAGATCCTCGTGTTTGTTGGTCTCTGTTTAGTTATAGAAAAATAATTTTAAACTCAAAATCATAAAGTCATTAGGAAAAAATAATAGAAAGTAGTGCAAAAGATAAAAAAGAAAATCACTGGTTGTATACCTATGGAAAGAAAGTATATGGAAAGAAAGTAGTAATCACTAGATATTCACAGACTAATTCAAAGTTATCCAAAACTACCTTCCATTTATTTTTGGAATTTATTTTAGAATTTAGCCTTCTGTGATGTCAGTTTGCTAGAGATTTCCCAAATCTAGACATCTGGCTCAGTGTCTTATGTTACATCTTTCCAGACAAAAGGAAAAATGTGTTTTGAATTATAGTATAAGTAGCAGATAGGTAAAATCATAGAGACTGATTCTATTACAAACTATAAATAATATTTAATGTATTTGTTGATATTTATCTCTGCTTTTAGTCCCAGGAAATATTGTCTTTCTATGTAACTGCCTTTTTTCACATGAAGCCAGTCTTCATAGATTCAGATTCTGACTTAACCACTTATCAGATATATGAGTTTATGGAAATGTGTCAATCTCCCTGTGCCTCAGTTTCTCCATCTGTAAAATGAACATCATGATAGTACCTACCCCATAGATTTGTGATGAGTATTAAATGAGTGAGTACATGTTTTGCATTTAAATGAATGCCTAGAAAAAGTTAGAATTCAATGAAATATTAGCTATTATTATTTTCTTGTGAAACCCTGAAGTGTTCATGAGATTTCTAGAAAACCCAGCGTCAATTTTATAGCCATTTCTAACAAAGGCACAGGATCTTATGGTATGAATTTGTACAATAACTTTATTCTTGACTTTCTAATCTTTGTGATCTTCAATTTTTGTAATTTTCTCTGTACCATTTTCCTTTCATTTATTAAAAAAAATTCTTGAACTTTTTAAAATAAAAGAATTGAATATACAGTAACAAACAAAGTCTGCAGAGGAAACCATTGTTAAGTCTCTCCTTTAAGTTCTTTTGGATGTACCAATGTAAATCATGGCTTCATTTTTTGATTCTTCAATTTTAGATAAAAATCTAAATTGCTTGTTTAAAACCTTCACTTACCAATTTTTTTCTCAGTTAAAAAAATTTGTAACAGTTTATAACATATTTTTTCCATTATATAACTACTTACCTTGAGTACTTTTTGTATCAATTGTTCAAAAAATTAAGACCAATAACCAGTATTTACAATGTATGGTTTTGAAAACAT